ACGTATTTTGAGGCTGTACTGCAATCCTGCAAACCCTTGCACAGTGATAATACATATTAGAGAAAAGAAATAATATACATTTATCAGACCCAATTCCGTGAGCAGCTTCAGACACTGTCACTACAGGAAGCTACTGAGCCACAGTCAATGGGAGGCCCTTGGGCCTCTCTGCAGGTGGCTCTGGGCTATCCAGCAAGGAGCAAACCCTGACCTGTTCCTGTCACCCCATTCAGAGCATGGTTTTGTTGGAGGTTGAAGACAATTTTTTCCACAGGAGGAAATTTCTGAAATGTTCCATCCCCCACAGATCTGTAACTACATGGCCACAGGGGCCCCATCTCCTGCTCTTGATAGGGCCTTACTCAGGGAATTACATTTCCCCATATCAGAAAACTCCAGGAGCAAGGTTTAAAGCACATCAAATGCACTATGATACAAAGCTAGCAGGTTAAAAGTTAATGGCTTATTTTTGCCATGGCTTATTTGTGTTACATTCTCACCAAGTAAGGCTGAAGCTATCTGTTCCCCTGATAATTCTTCCAAGTGGCGTATTCGCAAATGATGGAAAAATGGTCACACCAACATGCTAATGGGAGCTGTCAGCTATCAGCATAACTTGACGTGATGTCTATAGACACCACTGCACTGAGAGCAGCAGCTGTTACCGAGGCAAACAGCTGAAATAAAAGAGGAAGAAAGGCGGCTTGCAAATAACCGCCTCTGCTAGTCCAAATGGCTCTTAATATTCTTTGTGTAAAGATACGCTGTTGTTAACATCTGCTTGAAGTTAATCTGAAGAGTTGTTTGCAGATAGCAAAGCTGGTAAGCACCTGCTGCTTTAGGATAGATGAACTTTTGTGGGCATATAACATGCTATTTTATTCCCAGCAGCTCTCACAAACACCACCCTATAAAGAACAGAAATGAATGGACTTTGTGAAGGGCACTCTAGTTGAAATTGGATAGGACTAAACACAAGTACTGCCACACAAGATACAAGAACAGTTTAAGAGTCTGGTTCAGAAATATTCTAGAGCCTGAGGATCCAAGTGGTCTTAGAAGGGTGACTAAGGAAAGCAAACCAATTGCTAGTGACTTAGGTTGGTAACTTGGAGGTCTATGTATTAATAGAGGTCAAAACTAATGAAAAAAGAAAGTTCCTGGAACCACTTACTGGGCTGACTTGAAAACTGCCCTCTGCATCAGCATGTTTGAGTGCAGCACAAGTCCCATCTTTGTGGCATGCAGGAAATGCAAGAAGTACAGAGTGTTTCTGCATTTCCAGGTTACTTTCGTGCTTCTTGTCCCCTTGTTAGATTGTCCCTGAGCCACTCTTCCCACAAAGAATTTCACCTCACTTGAACGTTTGTTTGATTTCAGTCAGGTAAATCAAAATGGCAAAGGAAAGGAGACAAAAAGCCAGAATGAGACTGAACTCTTCTTTAAAGCAAGTCTCTGTATGCCTCCTCATTAGTGAAACTTGTCTGTCTTTTCAATGCTGTTCTATTTCATTGGGGAATTGTCCTACTGGATGTGTCCATGCTGTAAGATGGTAGCTCTACAGTGGACCAATTAGTCCCTCCCTGTACTTTAGCAAATTTTTTTGCTTCAATTTGTCCTTCAATTTTGCCTTGGCCTAATTTATGATTGAAACTGCAGTTTCCAGAATGGCTGTAGATACTCAGACAACAATTGAACATGTTGTGATACAGTATCTGTTAGTTTGTATAGCTGTAGCTCAGGTCACAAACTAAACAAGAATTTGTCATACAGGACAAAAGTTAAAACCAGCAGTTCAGTACATGTCTTATTTCTGTGACTGCCCAAAATTAAGAGGAAAAGTGAGAAGGGTGACTGAACCCCACACGTGTCTTCTGAGACCTTGTGACAGTTCCTGTGTTCTTAATTAGGTCTCACTTATAATCTTTTGAGCTCAGCGGAGCTAGCCACTGACTTTGGTGGAGGGACCAGGCTTGTAAAGGAAAGAGGAGCAAGTGAAAGGGAGGCAGCAAAGTGAAAGGGATAATTTTTTTCCTACTTTTGAAACCCAGAGGACTAGAATGTCTTCACTCCTTCCGTCAAGGATTAAGATTTTTTACTAGAGTTGTCTTTCCATCAATATTGCTCTGGAAGGGAAAGATGCTCCTAGTTTCCCAGATCCCTTCCCACCTCTGCTCTTTCTTTAAAAGTAAGACATTCTTCAGTCATACATAACCATGTCCAAGCTTGATTGATGTATTTAAAATCCTTCCTTTCTGTCTGTACTTTCACAGGATAGTTCTTTTGGAGTATTGTGAGAGAGATCATCCACTTCCACAGATAAATCCCTCTGAGTTTTGTTCCCTCAGTTCCCTCAGTTCCACAGACATTCCCATACTTTCACTGCCATTTGGGACACTGCATTTGAAGCACTATTCAGCAACACCAACTGAGCCTGAAGTCTCCTGCAAGATCTGTGATTGCCTTCCATTTGTCACTTTAAGCATAGAGACTGGCAGAGTGATCCATCACCCTGTATTGTACACAGAACACCCAGATAACTTCTACATCTTTTTTTTCTCTAATGCATCTTTGCAGCCTTTGCAGAATGTAACTGGTGTTAGTTCCAAATGAATATGAGTGTTATGCACACAAGTTTCTAGAAAATCAGAGCACTGTATTTATGCAGGTGGCAGCAATAAGGTATGTTTGGGAAATCAGATGTCAACCTGGAATTTGAGAAATCAGATTTTTATCTCAGACTATAAATTATTAACCACTACCACTACTCCTCCCATAAAGCATACACTGTACTGTGAATGATGAGTGCCATTTCTGAGTATCCTGAGTGTTTCGAAAAGCCCTGCAAATGCAATGTTCATAATCCTGGATAACCAGGACAAAGTGGATTCAGTTGCTATGGTTGCAGGCAACAGATAGGGAAGATCTCTGTTGCACCTCAGGCAGCAACAACTGATTGTGCCACTAAATTCACTTACATTCTTTTGGGGGTTTTTATTATAATAATTCACAGTTGTGTTAACTCTGCTGCAGGTAACATTACTGGCATTAGCAGAGGCAGAATGACAGTCACTGTAATTTGAAAGCCCTGTGAATTAGTTGTCCCTAGCCTAAAAAAATGATCTACAACTACTAAGTATGTAAGCAGAAACACTCCGAGTTAAATGTATTCATGCAACAATGAAATGACTCTAAAAGCAATCCATATGAGTTCTGGTATATCTTGACAATAAATGATAATCAATTCCAAAAGGGGATTCTTCTTATATTTTTATATTTGATCAAAAAGATTTACTAGCATAGAAAAGAGCTCATTCCAGAAACAAACTGTACCACACCAGTTTCATTACTCACTGAAGTACCAGGAATTCAACAGGCTTTTTGTGCAATGCAGTTTTAATGTCACTAATGTGGCAAAGAATTTTGCTATGTGTTCATCGCTAACACAGTCCATAAACAGCTCCTTCAAATGCAACAGTATTTGTATGCTGAAGAGGTATGTGCCAAAAGGAGGTGCACATTAAGAGGTTAACTGATATTATTCCTTTTCCATCCTACTCTAATTAGGGTCATAATGACTAAGAGGTTTGAATGCAGTTACTTACTCAAATGTGCCAAGCTGCTTTTTTTTTTTTTTTTTAACATAAATAAAAGAGTATGTTTGAAGAGTCAAAACACAGAGAGCCTGTTCACCTCAGGCCCTTTCCCATTATAGGTTTGGGATTACAGATCAGAACAAGTTTACTTTTTAAAAAATAGCTACAGTTTTCACTCATGTGAGATGCTTGAAGCAGATGGATAATTTGCTGTCTGAGTTTAGTGGAAAGTAGAAAGGAATGGCATCATCAATGGTTAAATATATCCTCTGAGTCCAGCTAAGCAGTATCCACTTCTAACAACATGTATCTCTTAACAAAGGGACCCAGCTAGAGGAGCTGTGACTCTCTAAATCGCTGACATTTTCCCATTCTATCTGCCCACCTAATATATATGTACTGGTGCAGTGCATAATGTCTGTATAGCCAGCTAAATGTATCAGAGCCAATCTAATTTTTCACAACAGTTCTTTTAAGAGTCCCTGATATGCTGTAGAGAGGTAGGATCAGAGTGACACTCAGTGGCAAGAGAGAAAAAGCGATTCTCCGTTTCTCAGTTCTATCGAACATATTATTAAGATGCATAAAATTTTAATGAGATCATTATTCATATTTTCTGCCTGTTTGATATTGTTCTATGTAAGCATTATAGTTCACACCTAAAGATGTACTTTTAGTTATGCAAACTGAAAGGAAGATTGGATTACTTACTTTACCAAGACTGCCTTCACTCACAACCTGTGTGGTGGGATCTCCTGCGACTGAAAAAAAAGAAAAATTACCTTGAGAAATTGAACTAGTATCTCAAAAAACAAATTTCAGAAATAAGAGACTTGAATCACGATAGGTTTACATTCTGTTGTATTTGAAGCTTTGCAGATGACTTGAACAGTCTGAAGAACAACATTTTACACCTTGCCTACAATTTAGCATGCTGCGTATGTATGACAGCACATGACCCTCACACTTAGTTGGGTTAGATGAAAACATTTTCTGTATGTTTCTGAATGCAGACCAAGCTATAGCTGACTGGATTTGGTATCGGGGGAAAAAAAAAGGAGACATTTTCCCTTTCATGTAAGAAAACACTGGAATAAATTACGGAATCTTTACTATTAAAAATTTCTAACATCAGTCTCGACAACTATTTTGAGAAATATTTTAGATGGAGTAGTTCTGCAGTAAGATAGTGGTGTGGACTGTCAGTCCTTCCAGCTTTGCCTGCTTGGAAGCAGGGGAAGATTCACAGTATTATATCTGATTATGGTGCCAGAAATTCTTCTGATCCAGCAGCTGCCTAGAGTCAAACTCACAGCACTCAAGGATGTTAGTAAGTAAGAGTTATCATAATACAATGTTCCTTGAAACACTGTATGTACAATAATTTCCATCTATCCTAAACAGGGTCCTGTAGCATCACCCATGTCTATGCGGTCTGTTCTAACAAGCAGCTCATGCCTCTCCCCACCACCACCGCCACCACCTGGACCTCCCCCCATCTTCGATACAGAAACTGTAAAGGATGAAGGAACTGCATCTCGCTCTGCCCTGTTTGCACAGCTTAACCAGGGAGAGGCAATTACCAAAGGTCAGGAGAAACCAAATTTTGGTCCATGAGTCAAACTATATCAAGAGCTGCCATATGTATATTAACCTAAGTTCCACTGCATTTTTAAGTTGCATCTGAGCAACTTCTGAGGCTTCCAGGGAGACTGATGGATAAGATTGCATACCAAAACCTCCTTTAGCAACAACAGCACACAAATACATTAAGCATGCCTGAAATTCATACCATATATTTAGAGGTATCCTTTAAATTTTAAGGCAGCCAAGCTGGACATCTTCAATCCCCAGTAGCTGGTGAACCTCTAAGTTGCAATCGCAATAAAAATTTATCCCCCTTTCTGATTCACATTCAGTGTCCCAATCTGTGTCACAATGTGTTAAATGCTAGGTGAAAAGGTATGGCTTATAGATCTGTGTGGACTACAATAATAAAACTTTTTGTATTAACACTGGACAGTTGTACCTACAGTGGATGGCTGTGATTTTAAATACATAGGATTGATATATCTGCCTTTAATGCTGCAGGGATAAGTCAAACATTATCATAAATTAGAAAAATAATCTCATTTTTATGGATGAAAAAGTATGTTATAATAAGCTCTCAGAGCTCGCTACAGACAGAGAGGAACTAGAAGACATTGTGGCATTTCCTGTTATAGCTCATGCACAGAAAAAGAGGTTTTATAGAAACTGCTAAAAAATGTAGGCAGTTACACTTCAGATCATTGCCCAGACAACCTTGAGGAAATAAAGAATTTAAACTCACAGAATAATTTAACACAATTACACATGAGCCCTTCCTGCTCATATGTGGACACCCTTAGGACTGGAAAACAGACTCTCTTTCATAAACACCCTTTCTTTTTAGGGCTTCGGCATGTCTCTGATGACCAGAAGACTCACAAGAACCCTAGCCTACGCGCCCAAGGTCCATCTGTTCGTTCTCCAACAAAAAGCCATACTCCAAGTCCCACCTCTCCCAAGAATTCCCCGCAGCAGAGCCATGCCCCTGTCTTGGAGCTAGAGGGAAAGAAGTGGAGAGTGGTGAGTTCCAGTCACGCCTCTGAACTGCAGCCTGCATGTTGCAAACCGGGTTGAGCTCTGAAACATCTTGCAAGAGGCTGTCCATGATCCAGGTGCAACAAGTCAAAGTTGCAACTAAAATGGGCTGAGTCTTGCATTGCTCTGCCTTGCTACAGTTTAGTTTTTACTATTCTGTAGCATCTAAAATTAATTCGTCTGTGAGAATCATATACTAATTCATCTGAAGAATGTTCGAACCAGGATATAAATTCCTTGCAAAATCAGACAATCCCCCAGAAACAAGTCCAATGGAGAACTCCAGTTAAAATCCCTTCTTGCAGGCCATTTGTGCGAGTGAGAGATAAAGATTTTATCACAGAGCACTTTCTCCAGCTTTGTTAATCAATGTAATTATACATTTATTTTTTTATCACCCATTCCAAGCAAGTATGTCTCCCATGCTTAAAAGTCAAGAATTGTTTTCCATTTGCTCAGTTTACAGATGGAAAAGGTAGATTTGTTTGGAGTTTAGATGTTAATTTATGTAGGCATAAACCAAAGAATGTATGAGTGAAAATTCATGTGACTGTGTTGGTCAAAAGAGGGGGAAAACAATACGCAGTTTAGTCATGCAGAAGTTTATACACACAGTGATTACTGGGGAGTTGAGTTTGCATAAGTTGCAGTCAGTTTGCCAGGGTTATGTTGCCTTACAGTTACAGTACCTGGAAATTTCCTTGTGGATCCCTAGTCTTTCCTGGACATCCATGAAGTGTAAATTTCTTTTCATGCTTCATAATGAAAGGAAATTTCTTCACCATACAATACTCCTTATTGTATATGGTAATGCCTGCACCAGTTCATAACACACGGTATAGAGCATTTTGTAATATTTGGGGGAATAAAAACTTTCTCTGTTCTTCATGGTGATGGTCTAAATTGGATGGAAGCCAAGCAACAGTTTTGTGAGGACATTTATAAATTGTCTTTGCTACAAAATCAATGGATTTTGTCATGGCCTATGCTAAGTTCTTCAGTTCTGCAGCTTGTCATCTAAGGGTGAATTGGGTGAATTAGGTGAAATACCCAGTCACCAAGCAGATTACATTTTTAAGCCACAGGAAGGATATTGCTCTGTTGTAACTGAAGATGTAATGACTCGAGGATAAGTTGTTCTAAATTCTGTCTGACTGTTAGCAAGTTAAAGACAACCAATTAAATAAACTTTCTTTTGAAATAGGAATATCAAGAGGATAAAAATGACCTGGTCATTACCAACACTGAACTCAAGCAAGTGGCCTACATTTTTAAGTGTAACAAATCTACACTTCAGATAAAAGGAAAAATCAATTCAATTACTATTGGTGAGTGGATAGCTCAGCTGGGTTTTAAATACCAGTCTTGAAAAAACTGACTTCTGTGATTAATAATGCATCTGAATCATTCCATTCACTGTAATGGATTGGTCACGTGAGTAAAGTCTCTCAGCTATGCAGTGCAAGACTAGTGATTTTCGTAGTTAATGCAGCAGGTGTGCATATATTTGCTTTTATCTTGCCTTTCTTATTTATGACTGCTTTTATTTTAGACAACTGTAAAAAATTTGGCCTTGTGTTTGACAACGTTGTGGGAATCGTGGAAGTGATCAATTCCAGGGATATTCAGATTCAGGTAAATATCTATTTGGAAAAAACAGAGAGAGAGAACAAGCAGGCAAAAAAAAAGCCCAACATGTAGCTACAAGAGATTTTAAAACTCACAGGAGCACAACAAAAACAAGAGATTGATGCATCCAAATATATCTTCATATGCATTAAATTTTGATGATCTATTCAGAAAATGCCTATGAAAACTATTGACCATCCCTGAGCAAACCTCCCTTAGCCTAGTCCCTTCTGGTTCCAGTGAAGCTGAGAGATCTGTATACACTATAAGAACTGCTACTTCTGGCCCTAATTTTCTTGCTTCCATGATAAACATCTCATAATACTTGAAAGTTCAGTGGTGCTTATGGAACAAATCCTGGCAGTTAGATAATTGATATCTAAGCCCAGAAGATGGTTATTTCTTTTCCTTATTCTCTCAGTGGAAATGCTCAGATAGACTGTCAAAGGACAACTAAATGACACAAAGTAAAAGTAGGTGCCAGGGTTTCAAAAATGTCCCATGCCAGTGATGCGACACATTACATGAGTAAGTAAGTAATGTAGTCACTTGCCTAAAAATGGGCTATGAGCCTCTACTGATTTTTCTCTGCTTCATCAAAGATCATCTTCCTTGGGGTTCTCATGAAAAGAAGATATATGCATTTTAAATCCATACATTGCCCTCCCTGCTGGAGACACTTGCATCATCCAAAATACAGCAATCTGCCTGATACAGTACTTCAATCATCCCATTCCAAAAAGGTCTAACTATAAATGCTTTAATACTGGGTTGTGTCCACGATACATGACCTAGTCTCAACAGGGACTTTAGGATGTATTCTTTTAAGAGAAAAAGAAATGAGATGTTTATTAAATTATATCAAACTGAGGATCTTCAAAGTGAGGCCTTTCGCTTAAAAGGCTGTGCCTACTGTATGATATTACATGTAGACAGTCCTTCTCCATACTTCAGAAATGCTGGTCACAGCCACCACATGGAATAATGGGAAGATATTTCTTGTATTTCTTTTACCTCATGCAAATTGTTGACGTTGCTGCTAGCTGCGCATCATCTTCTGAACTGTAACAAGCAGTTTTATTCATGATCCCTACATGTCTTCTTATGGCAGAGGCAGTTAGTTAAAAATCCCAGGCATCTATTTGAGTGCTTTTTTAAATAATTAGATTATTTTTATCATTACCTCTAGAACTATTCATGAGAGATGAAAAATTCATATGTAATGAACAGTGAAACTACAGCTTCTTAATACTCAAATAAGGGGAAATATCTTCTTTAAGAATCTAAATTCTTTTGATTAAGCAGGTTCTATGAATATTACATAAAGCTTGTATGCCATAAAGGGGAGTTCCATTTAAGAAGGCAGAGTCTGGCTATATGCTATATGCCACTTGAATCAGGCGGTTTCTGTAGGGTTTCACTATGCCAAGTGCTGAGCACCTCCACTTTGTCAGTATTTTGAAGACCTGATCTTAGAATTTCCAAATACATGATATGTTAATGCAACAAAATTCAGTAAATTCATCCTACAGATTTTGCTATAGTTACTTCAGTGCCATATTGCTTGGCTCTCCCTTCTCTCATTTATTACTCTCTCTCACTTATTATTATACCCTCATGGTATTTCTTTTCTTGCCAGATGTTTGCAAATTTTCTTTAAACACACCCTCCTTTTGTTCTCTGTTGCATGAGAACCCATTAAGGAAAAGACGGTTTAAGATGCACTGATCCACTACATAGATCAGACTTCAGAATCAGGGTGAGATGCAAGAGAACAGACCACTTGTTCTTTGGTTGCTGTCACATTTAAGGAACTGAAACTGAAAATATATTCTTAACTTGAATGGTGGGAGGCACTTCTTCATTAACAAGTACATATATATCACATGCTGTTACTGTTTTATGGCTTGGAGTAACCTCAGCCCTCTTGATGCATTGTCTAGAGTATGTTGCTGTCCCTGCTTAGGGAGGACAGGAGGAGAGGAAGGAATTTTTACTGACAACCAGTGAGTCAGCCAGTCAGCCATGAAGAAATCTTTTTATCCATAGAATTGTAAACAAGAGATTTCCCTATTCCCCTCAAGTAAATCTTGCGCTTGCTTTTAAAGTGACATAAGAAATACCTTTAAAGATTTAATTAAATTGATCTCAGTATATTTTCAGAACTGTAGCTTGCCTGAAAGAGATAAAACACGTTTCCTATTTTATGCTGTAAAACCTGGTAGAGCTTTGAAGTCTTTAGAACATATTACAAATCACTTGTTGAATACTGCTATATGCTGGGATCTTTCATTTGCCCTTACTGGGTTGGAGCTGACATGTTTGATTTCCTAACATGTTTGATTTCTACTGATGAGGAAGGTGAACACGGCCTAAACATCAGCACAAAAGTGTCACTGCAATTAAGAGAGAATCAGGGAAGTACTTTCATCAAATGGTATATTAAAAGCTTGCTGTATATCAGTCTGCTGTTGTGTACAGATCTATGTTACCACCATCAAAAATTTCCACCATGTCTTAACAAATCCAATCCAAGCATCCTGCAGGCAGCTGACACACAGATCAGATGTTGTTGGCCAAAATTAGACCTGGCAGGCAATGAGAATTTTATTAACAGTATCTTTGTGTGCATTTTAAGATTTGATGTTAAGTAGATTTTATTTTGCAGGTGATGGGGAAAGTGCCAACCATTTCTATTAACAAAACAGAAGGCTGCCACATCTACCTCAGTGAGGAATCACTAGATTGTGAGATTGTGAGTGCCAAGTCATCCGAAATGAACGTCCTCATCCCCCAAGATGGTGATTATGTGAGTGAGATATTTTAATGCTTTCCTCTCTCTTCCCCATCAGTCTTGGTAGCTAACAGCACTTACACTGCTGGGAAATAATACACTAATACACTACACATACCACATCACCAAATAGTTATCTAAAACAACTGAATTTCTATGTACAGATATCTCAGCTATCAGTGCAGGAAGAACTCATTTTCTGAGGCATAAATTAATTTCAAAGATCAGACACGATGTTCTTTCTTTCCATTTTGATAGCTAAAATGGCTTCATCTCCTGTGCATTTAATTTTCTTTTTTGACATCTAAACATAATTTCCCAAAGAAACTCACTTCACGCAAGAGCACTCAAACCTGAAGGTGATGATGCTAAGATAACTAAGATAAATATAATACTACTACAGATTAAATAATACAATATACCTTTTTTCTTTTTCTAGAGCTGTTGGTAGATGGGTAGCATCTGTAGTACTTCTTAGTATTTTCAGCGTGCATGCTTAAAAGAGACTTAAACACATGCATTTTCCTGGCTCCTTTTCTTTTCTAGTAAGATTTTCATACTGTGCCCACCGGCCGTTCTAGTAAAGTCCTGCTCTGTCACTTAACACACTAGCAAGGTGCAGGCAAAGAAAGGATGCTTGTAATAGTTTCCTAGTTACCTCAACAGAGCAGTGTTGAAATTGCACTTAATGGCCACGGACAGAACTTAAAATTTCTCACTAATCTCTTGGGCTGGAATTCTGTTTGGTAAAGGGGTTTAAGCTTTATAAAAGAAAACATGTAACAGAGAATTCTCATGCTCCACATCTCCAAAAGTGACAGCTGGATGACCAGCTTCAGATAACTAAACAGAAAATGATTTTCAGTGGGTGCATATACACCTATTTCTTAAAAAAAAAAAAGTCCTTTTGATCAGTCTCGCCTCAATTCACCATAACATCTGAAATTACTAGCTATGGAAACACTTATTTGAGGTCTGAATGAAAAAAAAAATACCCTTCTCTTCACATCATTTTTTGTTTACTGGGAACAGAGAAAGACCCAACAATATCTCCCATCTTTCACCAAATACATGGAATGGAAGGAGATTTTCTTAGATGCTCTGCTTCTGCTTGTGTACTCCGCAAGGGATGCTGAATCCTTTGAAGTGTATCACACTTAAAATGATAATTGGGGGGGTGGGGTGGGGGGTGTGTGTTATTTTATTCTTCCATATTATAATATTGCTTTCAGCCTTAAATTAGACTCCTCGCTAAATGTCCATATCTAAATCCATCCTACTGTCTTCCAAACCAGACACTGGCAGAATCTAAAGTAATTTCTGAGGCTTATTTACTTAGTTGTTCCAAATAATGGTGTGAGAAGGATTATTGCAAAGTAGTACCATACCAAGACTATTTGAAACCGGGTAGCAATAAGGCTTTTTCCTGTGTGGCATTGTAAAATAGCTTCCTAGGGTAATGAAGAAGGCTTCTCTCTAATCCTGGCATGTCTGAGCTATCAATGCTTTCTCAGTCATGCAGTACTAATAGTATTCCACCAGTTTTCACGAGGTATCCACCGTTTATTTAACCACCATTGTTGCTTTTGTTTCTTACCAGAAAGAATTTCCGGTTCCTGAACAGTTCAAGACAGCATGGGATGGATCTAAGTTGGTCACTGAACCTGCAGAGATTGTGGGTTAACTCCCTAATGCCATGCAGCACTTGCTGACCGTGACCAGACCACAGCCAGCATGAACAAAGCAGTAATGTAAAGAACTAGAAGTAGCAGTAGCTCATACTGCTGTGATAGGCCTTCAAGCATTAGCTCTGCATGATAGAAACTATAACACATCTGGCACCCTTTTGTTAGGCATCCTAGTACTTTTCACGTTTCCACAGTTTGCCTTCACATACATTTTTAATCCTCCATGATTTCATGTGAATGTAATATATGAAAACCCCCACCCTCCAGTCACATCATTGGTTTGAAACACTGTATACATTAAGCCAAAATACTGCATGATACACTTTGTTATCATCTTGCTTCAGTGCATTCCTTTTTATGTTTCTGCTAATCGAAATCAGCATTAAGACTTTAAGATGTTTATTTTTACCTATGAAGCAATTTCTGTATGATGCAGTAAAAATGCACCCCTAGAAAGTATGCAGTTTCTTGTAGTTCTGGGGCAATCATACTGGGGTTTGTTTTAAACAAGCAGAAAAGGACAACTTTCAGCAATACATTTTGCTAACAGAAGAGTAAAGAAAATATGGTATTTTAATCACTTTTCTAATATGTGTATTTAGAAGATCCGTGTGTAAGGTAAGACTGTTATGGTCCACAGACTTGCTGTTGCCCTCTCATTTCTTACAAATTAATAATTCAAGCTAAAACCTCCTTTAAGCTAAAACCTCGTTTAAACTAAAACCTTGCAGCAAATCACTTGGAGGGGTTTTGCTCCTTGGATTTCTTTTCTTTTTTTTTTTTTTTTTTGGTGAGATAATCTCTCATTCTTTAAAATGTCACATTATATCTTGCATCCTATTCAGAAGACTGAGAGAGGTGTATATGTCAGGTACCGGCTAGTTTCCTTATTAACAACGTTCCTTTCAAATATTGATCTTGCAGCTCATATTCATTAAAAATATCTTCTTGTTTCCTCCCCTCTTTTGTAGGACTTTCTCAATTTCAAATATGCCCACAAATCAAAGCCATAGATTTATGTCATACTAATTCTGAGCCCAAATAAAGGGGGGATTTCCTGGTTAGCCCTTTGATGCCACTTTATAGTCCCCATTGTACATGCTTTTTTAATGAAGGTGAGTGTTGTATACATTTGTACTATTTCAGCACATAGTACAAAAAAAATTTTAACAATTTTAAAAGTCAGCTTATGTTTTTGATCACTTGTAATACTTTGTACCAGTGAAATCACAGTGAGATGCTTGCAGAGCTAGTTACAAGCTAAATTTTGTGCCTAATTTACCTTGAAAGTACATTCATTCTTGAGGGGTTAAGTATTATCTTTGATTGTAAACCCTATACAATGCAACCAGTAGTGCTCATTCCGTAAGGTTTTGCTATCTGACGTTTAATCTATGTGTATAATGTGTTTGCTTTAATACATACCATTTTTTCAACAGTAAACTTCTTATAAAATAAAAAGGAAAATGTACTTGTTTAAAAACAAAGTTGTTCAGAGCTTGCTTCATTGCAGTGTTTGTCCTATCTGCTTTCTCCTTAAATGCTGTTTCAAAAGCTTGATTGAGGAAAAAGTAGCTCCTCCTCCCATTTCATTAAACATTTATCACTTTTGCTGCCATAAGCCACCTGATGGTGAACAGTGGGTATTCTGCACGCTAGCAGATGAACTTGAAGTTTCATGCATATAACTTTGGTGACAGCCAGAGAACTGAGCTTTTCATGATTCTCACTTATAGGTACACCTCTATCTTCCAGATCGTGTCTAGGGAGATGACCTTTAAGGTGAAAATTTATAAAGTTAGCCTTCTATTTTTAGCTTTTCCCATTGTTTCCTTATATGGATTTGGATGTGTCCCTCCTGTGTTAAAAAACCACGAGTGATCAACTCCTTATTTCACTTGGATGTGCTTCATATCTGAAAAATAGGCATCACATACTTGTCATCATAAAAGGATTGTTGCAGGATTGTTTAATTCTTAACTTATCATCTGTTCCATAAAATAATCTCATTCTGGAACATTCTGACCTGAAATACTGACTCTTGTTTTGATCCAGCATTAAATAGGGATCAAGTCATTATGCAGCAACAGGAAGCCACTTAATGCTTTGGAGGTGTGATGTAAAACAAGTACCAAATGCTTGATGATAAACAGAAAGCAGCAAGACAGTTCTGAATCACTACATGAGCAAGTGATTTTAGTTCCTCATAGGGATTTAATTCCTCCCTCAAAAACAGTGTGAAGGCCATTCTGATTATTCTTTCAGATGTTTGAAAATAAACTCCCTTGTGGCTAGACATTCTCCCTAACGCTCATGTTCCTGCAACATGCAAGACCCACATGAAATTTTTGACTGCTTTCTTTACAGGAAGTAAAGAACAGTAACAGAGTGTACCTGACAATCTGAACACACCTGAGAACTTTGTCTCAGAGGGCAGAGGTTTAAAAGATAAGGAAGGCAGCCTGGCAGGGACAGAACCGAGGTAATTGCTTCAATTGCTTTTCAAGGAGAAAAGGCTAAGGCTAAGAAGTCCATGCATTATTGGTCACCAGGAAAATAGGAGACTTTTAAAACATACAGATAGCTTTTATCCAGTATTTTTAGTTAGCCACATGACAAAAAATCTATAACTAGCTATCAATCACCCAGTAAAATACATGTAAAAGAGAGTGAGATTATTTATGAAGTGCCTGAATGTGAAAAGCTTTTTTTTTTGTTTTTCCTATGAAAAGCTTCAATGGATCTCCTACTTTCTTAAATAGAACCTCTGTAAAAGCACTCATGAGGTACTCTACAAGTACCTCATGAACTTCAACAAGGGGAACTGCAAAGTCCTGCACCTGGGTGACAATAGCCTCGTGCACCAGTGCATACCGAAGACTGTCCAACTGGAGAGCAACTTGGCAGAAAAAGACCTGGTTGTTGTGGTGGACACCAAGTTGAATGTGAGCCAGTTATGTGTACCTGTGGCAAGGAAGGCTGATTGTATCCTGGGCTACATAAGGAGAAGCACTGCCAGCAGGTTAAGGGAGGTGATCCTTTCCTTCTGCTCAGCATTGCTGAGGCCACATCTGGAGTGCTGTGTTCAGTGCTGGGCTCTGCAGTACAAGAGAGACATGGACATACTGAAGAGAGTCCAGTGAAGAGCCACAGTGATCAAGGGACTGGAATAGCTCTCCTATTAGGAAAGGCTGAAAGAGCTGGGGCTGTTCAGCCTGGAGAAGAGAAGGCTCAGGGGAGATCTGTTAATGTGTATAAATACCTGAATGGGGAGCGCAAAGAGGACAGAGGCAGGCTCTCCTCAGTGGTGCCCAGTGACAACTGGTGGAGTCTCCCTCCTTGGAGACATTCAGAAGCTGTCTGGACATGGTCCAGGGCAACTTGCTGCCTTAGCAGAGGGGCTGGACAGACCAGATGACATCCAGAGGTCCCTGCCAAACCTCTCTATGATTCTTGCTTAGTTATTCAGAATATTGGTTACTAAGAATTAGTGGGAACTAGAAGTATTGAGGTAGTGACTCCATGTAGCCACGAGATGGCAGAAACCAGCTGAGTCCCAGACCCTGGCAAGTTCTTAAAAAACAAATGCTGGACTACAGTATTTACAGAAGACATGGATACTGTTTGTCAAAGAACTGTGAATTCTACTCTCTAAAACTCACTATAAAACATTTGAAAATAACTTTGATTTTGAAAATATCATCTTGGTAAAGGAACAGGTAAAAGAACACATCAAACAATTGTGATGAACAAGGAAGAAGAAAAACAATTACTTGTCACCAATGATTCATTTGAATTCATTCGTGATTCATTCTTTAGGTTTTTTTGAACACTGCTAAACATATGTCCATTCAAAGCACGTTAAAAAAAAAATGTGATTGAATTTAAAAGTAATATTTAACAGAGCTATTGAAGAAAAAGGAGTAAATAATTTCAAGTGTGCAGTTTAAAATCAGAAATCTTTTCAATGTCCTAGAGCATCAGACACTTGCTAAGGCTTCCCAGTGCCATGGTTATTACCCAGACAAACCATTCTTGTTGTTACTCTCTTCTGAGTCCTCAGTGTATCTGCATGAGTTCCTTCAGTGTTACTGTACTATATGCATATTTATAAGCCTGTGCATCACGTTTCTTTCCCAGAGATCAAGCATTAGTCCATTTGAAATCCTCCAGGAGCCGTATTCAGTACGCATCCTGTGCGCACTCTCCTGATGTGCTGTTCAGCTGGGCTCCTTCTAAAATGTGGAAGCAGCTGCCCCTGGACAAATTCACTCAATTACGTGATATGCCAAGAAGCGGAGCAGTTATCAAGAGCATACAAGACAGATTCTGTTCCCCTGTTGAAGGCGATATGAGCCCACTGCCATGAAGATATTGCCCAGAAGTAGTTACTGTCCTCAGAAGGTGCCTATAAACAGGCTCCTGACATAGAAAGCAGTCATCAGATAAAAATGGTAAATAACACTCCCCTAGGAACGTACTGACTACCAGAAAACAAGAACCTGCTGCCTCTTTATGGTTGAAACAATCCTGAAGAATCTTTTTGGGTACCAATTTTTTGTAAAAGAACAGAGAATCACAGAATCATAGAATGGTTTGGATTAGAAAGGACCTTAAGATAACCTAGCTCCAACCCCAATGCCATGGGCAGGGATGCCTCGCCCTAGACCATATCACCCAAGGCTCTGTCCAACCTGGCCTTGAACACTGCCAGGGATGGAGCATTTACCACTTCCTTGGGCAACCTGTGCCAGTGCCCCACCACCCTCACAGTAAATGCTCCCTAGTCCACCAGCCAAAACTCAGGAGTGATCTTCTAGACCTAACCCTGCTTCCCTAAGTCCTGGTGCATGCCAAGGACCCTACCTGATCACCACTGACCACCAAAGACTCTTCTCAAAACCCCTAGTCCCAGTGCTGCTTCAACAGAGGCACGCTCATATTTTATCCTGGGGAACACTGAAGAATGTGATGGGGAATTCAGTAACTGGTAAGGCTTCTGAGTGCCACACTCCTGAGGAAAGCTGTTTTCTGGTTACTCTTCATTCAAACCAGGTCAAGGTAAAAGGCAGATAAAGGTATTTACACACAACTCCCAAAACAGACAGTACTAGTAAACAGGCAACCACACTAAAAAACTATGTACCCTGCTTTTATCTTAAAGTGGAATAGTTCCTTTTTTTAATCCACCTGATTTGCTATGGTCTTTTGACCAACTGTGACCAGTAGGATTCTGTTTTCTGTCTGTATTACACTTGAAGTTGACTCTATTAGAAAGAAAATGCATCTCGGTGGACCTTTTAGAGACAATCTTTCTTTCAAAATCCTCAGGTGGATGAGACAGATCAGTTTCAGAGTGAAAGGCTATGTTTTTTCATTTGGGAGAGAGTTGTGCCATTTTTCTACATTCAAATACATCATGTTTTACTTTATACTTAGGTAAATGTATCCATTTGGAGGTTTTGGCTCTAGTTTCATGTTCTGTACTTGGCTGCTTGCCCTGACAAGGGGTA